ACTGTAAGGATGTCAGTTCTTCCCATCTTGATTTATAGATTCAATGCAATCCCAAATCAAAAACCCTGCAAGTTATTTTTGTGGATATCAACAAACCAATTCTAAAGTTTATATGGAGAAGAAAAAAGACCCAGAATACCTAATTCAATAATAAAAACAAAGTTAGAGGACTGATCTATTCAACATCAAGATTTAATGTAAAGCTACAGTAATCAAGACAGTGTGGTATTGATGAAAAAATAAATAGATCAATGAACAGAATAGAGAGCCCAGAAATAGACCCACACAGATGTAGTCAAAGATAGTATCTTTGACAAAGCAGCATAGGAAATACAGTGGACACAAGAATCTTTTTAACAAATGATGCTAGAACAACTGGACCTACACATGCAAAAAAAAAAAAAAATCTAGAACACAGACCTTACACCTGTCCCAAAAATTAACTCAAAATCAATTATAGACCTAAATGTGAAGTGCAAAACTCTAAAACTCCTAGAAGATAACATAGGAGAAAATCCAAATGACCTTGGATTTGGCAGTGATTTGATAATGACACCAAAGGCACAATCCATGAAAGAAAGAGTTGATAGGCTGAACTTCATTAAAGTTAGAAATTTCTGCTCTACAAGACACTGTCAGGAATGAAAAGACAGGCATAGACATGGAGAAAATATTTGCAAAAAGTGATACATCTGATAAAGGTCTGTTATGCAAAATATACAAAGTACTCTTAAAACTTGACAGTAAGAAAACAAACAACCGGATTAAATTGGCCAAAGACCTGGCAGAGTGTGTGTGGTGGCACCAGCACTGTAGGTCTGCTGTCCAGCCATGAATGAGCCAAACTGGGAAAAGCATAGCCTCGCCACTAGGTCTCTTCTTCCTGATGGCAGGGACCTGAACCAGTTTCTTTGTTTGAGTCAGCTTTATAGTTTCTGAAGAACTAGGCTGCTGATTTGTGGCCACTAACAGTTATTCTCACAGTCGCTAACAGGCAAGGAGGGCGGTGTAAAGCCTGCTGGTTGTTAGATCAAGTGGCAGGAAAAGACTGGGATTGGCTGTAAGCGTTTGCATATCACTTGGTACTGTGAGCTTGGCCAGTGTCAGGAAGTTAAGATGACCTCATGCCAGAGGGGCTTAGGGAAAAATATTTTTGTTCTTTTGCTGAGACATGTTTCCAGTATTTTGTTTAAGCCTAAGGAAGGGTTGCAGGCTAAACTTTGCCATCTTAGATATTTAAAACAGTATATGCCAAATTGTGTGTATATGTTTATGTGCTAAGCAAATGAAACACACCTTTCAAAATCCTTTATGGTACCTTTTTTTTTCTTGAACTCCTCTACAGACAAAGAATAAAATCCAAAATTTGTAAGGAAGCCGTCAACAAATTTTATTTTAATGTTAAAGAGGAACTCATCAAAATGGTAAGCTCACTGACATAAATTTGTTGGTCTAAAATTTTTTTGACTAATCCTGAGGCAGCATACTACATAGAGTCTTAGAAAAGCTTGCATTTGCTGGCAATATGGTCAGAAACTCATTAGAAATACCCATATATCACAGAACAGTTTTTAAACTAAGTATGATATATGTAAAAGGTAATTAACAATTTTGGAAAATGCATGTGAATATTTATTTTTTGTTTTGTGTAGCTTAAAGATGCCCGGATGCTGAAAAACCTGAAAAGGAAGAATGCTAAGGTAAATCACTTATGTGATGAGAGTCATAGTCATACACGATACTAACGTATGTAGAGTTAAGTAAATACTTGACTCTAGGTTTTATAACCTTTAGACTTTATAAGATTTTTAAATCTTTCTAGTCAGGCTGTTACGTGGTTGATCATGTGGTTGATCTCGCAAGTACTAGGCAAGCTAAGGAAATGGTGAGGGTCCTAGTCATCTTTGTTTCCTAAAGCTTTGCAAACATCTAATAATTTTTATAATTGAAGACAGAAATTTAAGACCTTTTTAAATGTCCCAAAGTTAGCCTAAAAATGGCTATCAAGTACAATATGACTGCTTATGTGGATAAGTATTAAGTAATGTGTCTCTATTGCTTTTGTGGATGTCAAAAAGCAAAACCTTTTCGAATAAAGAACTGTCCCAGGTAAAAGGACAGCCTGGGAAGGACACTGGGTTAGGGATGAGCAGACCTCGTTTCTAGTCCTGGTTCTGCTGCTTCAATGTTGTGCCACCATGAAAACTGTCCACCACGAGGTTTGCTGTTGGGGACGAGCCAGCTGGCCCCAGACCCTCCTTTCTAGTCTGTAAGGTTGGACCAGGTGACCTCAGAGGGAAGTATGGGGATGGATAGCCAGCCCCACCTCTACATTTATTATAGAAATGGGCTTGAAATATATAAATCTTCCTTCCAGTTATTATAAGCCCTAGAATTTTTTTTGTTTTTCTTTCAATTTTAATATTATTGGTCGTTTCTGCATTGCTTGTAAGCAAGTGGCAACATTCTGAGTGTCTGAAATGGAATATTAGGTAGTCCCTAAAGGTGATGGCTCAGTTAATAGAATTTATAATATTGAAATGTTCTTTTTAAAATACAAAGTGTGTCACGGCACTACCCTGCTTTGATATTTTCCTAGCACCTAGATAAAATCTCCCAGTTCTTACTTTATAGGTCACAGGGTCTAGTAAGGACCTGGCCCCCACCTTTCTCTTCAGAGTTGTCCTGAAGTAGATGCCCCTGCTGTTCTTTTCCCTTATAGAACATGTCACAAGTTCGAATCACTTACTGTTATAAGTAATGTCTGTTTTCCCCATTAGACCAAAGTCCCATGGCAGTAAGAATTGGGTCTGTCTTGTTTCCCACTGTACTTTAATACCTGGCACAGTGTACATGAGAGTGCTAATATTTACAAAATTCATTTAACACAGAAATGATTTTATTACTTAGATGATTTCAGGTATCGAAAAGAAAAGGCAGCGTTTGATAGAAGTCCAAGATGAACTGCTTCGGTAAGATAGTATCAAAATCCTGTTTGAGAACTCACTTAGAAAGATACAATTGTGTCATTTAGGGGAGTAATATTTGCTGTCCTGTCAGATTAAAGCCCCTGGCCATCTTTTAGGTTGGATGCTCGGTGAAGGGTGGCCATGCTGCCTAGTTGCAGAACCCTTAGCAAAGGAGAATTCACCACTGATCTATCTCCCAGCAGATCTCTCAGCCTTGGCCTGGGAAGCAGCCTAATTAGAGTTTTAATCTATAGACTCTAGAATTCCACTGCCTGGGTTTGAAACCACACTCTGCCGTTTACTGGCTATGCAACCTTGGGTGAGTTACTTAACCTCTCAGTGCCTCAGTTCAGGCTTTGGAATATAGGCATACTACGTACACCTCATAGGGTTTTGTGGGAATTAAATGAATAAATAAATACACAGTGCTTCACAGTGATGGGCATTAAGAGGTACTAGGTGCTGTTATGCTTATGTTATATATGACATATACTTAGGTCATTTATTTTTGGAAAAATAATTTTGTTTTAGGTTAGAGCCACAGCTGAAACAACTACAAACAAAATATGATGAACTTAAGGAGAGAAAGTCTTCCCTTAAGAATGCAGCATATTTCTTATCTAATTTAAAACAACTTTATCGAGATTATTCAGATGTTCAAGAGAAAGAACCACAAGTAAAGGAAACGGTAACTCCAATTTTTACTTTCTACTGTGCTTCCCAGGATGATCAAGGGCGTTTGCATGTGAGATTCCAGAGGCTTTGAGGAAAGATAAATGCAACATTAGAGTCCACCCAAAACAGCATCACTATAAAGCAGTGAAGATTTGTTATACACTCACTTTACTCACCTATGTAATGAAGGCTAGAAGAGTAAAAAAAAAAAAAAAATCCAGAATCACTGATTTTTTTTTTTAAGGTATTTACACTTCAGAGAACTGGATTTCATCAAGGGAGGTTTATACTCTGTGTGTGAATCTCAGTTAACAGCCACATTCTGCTTTATAAGACCACTCAGACATGTTTGGAAGACACTCTTTTGTTGTCAAGCCCTTGTTCAAAGTATCTTTTGGATCTGAAAAGCAAGCCATTATCCCATATAAACGGTGTGATTTTAGAAATTGAGAAACAAAACAAATAGAAAAAGTGTGGTATATTATTGTTTTTTTTTTTTTTTTTTTTTTTTTTTTTGAGACAGTCTCACTCTGTTGCCCGGGCTAGAGTGAGTGCTATGGTGTCAGCCTAGCTCACAGCAACCTCAAACTCCTGGGCTCAAGCGATCCTCCTGCCTCAGCCTGCCAAGTAGCTGGGACTACAGGCATGCACCACCATGCCCGGCTAATTTTTTTCTATATATTTTTAGTTGTCCAATTAATTTCTTTTCTATTTTTAGTAGAGACGGGGTCTCGCTCTTGCTCAGGCTGGTTTCGAACTCCTGAGCTCAAACAATCCGCCTGCCTCGGCCTCCCAGAGAGCTAGGATTACAGGCGTGAGCCACCGCGCCCAGCCTATATTATTGTTTTAATAAATTCTGTAGTTGCTTCTGGGTTTGTACTGCAGGCCATCCAGCAAAGATTAATAGAAATGTTTGTTACAGAAAAAAATTTATATTTCTACACCCTAATATTTTATATATTTATAATTATACTGTATACATGTATCTTATGATCAAATTTTATTTTCTTCTAATTCAATTTTAAGATTTGACACTGATCTAATTCTCCTGAGCCTAAGGTTTATATTATAGATCGGGAAATAGAATAGTTTTGTTGTTTTTGGTACTTAATTAGTCTTATGCTTATTTAGAGTTAGGGATTTGATTATTAAATTTGGAGAAATTAATAGTATCATTAATTCAACTTGAACATAATTACTTTGGTTAAAACTGAGAGTGACTCTACCTTGTTTGGAATGCACCACTCTTAGGAGCATCCTTGTCTTTGCACGCCCAGTAGCTTGTACTTCTATCGTAGCATCTGTCCTTTCGCCTCAGAGTGTAGGTATTTGGGTATATGTCCTACCTTGTTTCCTAAACATCTAGCACCCCCCAAATGGGGGTTCTTCCCTTCACTCCTCCCTGAGAGCGGGTGCCGATGGCATCTTGGAAACATTAGGCTCTCAGATATTTAAGTTGAATTCTCTAGTAACGTGGTAAGTTGTGTGCCAGAAAAAAATCATGAATTGGATTTTGTATTCTGTTTCTTGTTGGGTTTGTATTCCAATTTTGTCTTTAATCATTAAGAACATCTGGATTGGCAACTTTTAAGACATTTAATTGATCTTCCCCAAAAATAATTTTTCTAGATGATGGATGTTAGGTTTTTCTTTTTTTGAGACAGAGTCTGTTACCCTGGGTAGGGTACAGTGATGTCATCATAGCTCACTGCAACCTCAAACTCCTGGGCTTAAGGGGTCCTCCTGCCTCCCAAGTAGATGGGACTACAGGCGTGTGCGACCATGCCCTGCTAATTTTTTCTATTTTTAGTAGAGACAGGGTCTTGCTCAGGCTGGTCTCGGACTCCTGAGCTTAAGCAATCCTACCAGAGTGCTAGGATTACAGGCATGAGCCACTGTGCCTGGCCAGATGTTTGGTTTTTCTTATGAACTTTTATAGAACTGGTGTTCCTGTTCCGTCAGTTCTTACAGTAAAAGTAAAACCTACCTACCTTGCAGTTTTTTGTGTTTTAAAATAGACAGGAGATCAAGCAGACTGCACAAGGAGAGTGGCCCAAACCAAGTCTTGACCTGTCTCAGGCATGATTTTCTCTTTTAAATAGTTCTCTGAACCAACTAGTTGTCTGGGATGAGATCAGTTCAAGCTTTGCTAAGCAGTTCCCTTGCAAGTTTATATTATCAATTATGTCCTAAAAAAAATGGATAAAAATGGGCATTGGTCATAAGACCGAACTATGTAAAGCCAGGGTTATAAA